AGAATAGAGCAGTACTATGACTTCCTTTGATCTGGACTCTATACTTCTTGATGATGCAGCCTAAAACAGCATTAGCTTGTTTTGCTGCTGCATCACACTGTGAATTCATGCAAAGCTTGTGGTCTACTAAGACCCCTAGATCCTTTTCACATATGTACTACTGGCAATCTAGGTGTCTCTCATCTTATATTTGTGCAGTTGGTTCTTGCTGCCTAAGTGTAGAACCTCTCCAATCTGTTAAGGTCACATTGAATCCCAATTCTGTCTTCTGTGACATTGGCTACTCCTCCCTGTTTGCTAATTTCCCCTCTCACACTGTTACTCTTGATCAGTTTTCTGCCCTGGCTGTGGGTAATTGTGTGGGTTTTTTAAACCAAAGAGCACCCCCCCCAAAAAAACCCCATATATTTATGTCTCGAAATCCACTAGAATTTCAAACTCAAGAGTCGGAGACATATTTACACTTGTGAATCCTTCTCTTAATCCATTTTCTTGTTTACAGGTAAAAGTAGCGTAGTGGTAAAAGTACAGGTAAAAGTATAGCCTGCTTAATATATTTGATGCAATAAAGGACTTCCAACACTCAATCGCATTAAGACTGGGATCAGCATCCCTAATGTTATGGACCCATGAGGATGTAAGCCTATGTAAGTTGCCTTGAAACAGCAAATAAAACCTCGGTCATCAGGTTGGATGATGGAGGTGATATGGGGGGATAGAGAAAGACAACTTCAACATTACCACAGTGATATAGCAGTTTAAGAACAGTCCTGTTTACGAATGATTCGGTTTACAAACTCTGCAAAACTGGAAGTAGTGTCCCGGTTTGCGAACTTTACCTCGGTCTAAGAACAGAATCCGAACAGTGTAAGGACCCTGGTGGCAGGAGGCCTCATTAGGGAAAGCGTGCCTCAGTTTAATAACGGTTTCAGTTTAAGAACAGACTTCCGGAATGGAATAAGTTCGTAAACCGAGGTACAACTGTATATGCAAAGTGGAATGACCAGGAGCATTGTCTACAAACAGCAACACTTGGTCAAGTTCCTTCTCCACAAGGAACCACTTAACCTCCAGGACAAAGTAGTTGTGGAACCAACGCAGATTGACATGCCATCTCTCAGTAAGTCCAGCACAACAAGTTTTTCCTTCAGCTTTGAAACATTGCTGGCTCTTCAGCTGCACACCAATACAGATAGGTGGCTTGCGTTTTGGGGCAATGTTGCACTGTTCAAATCACTAACCAAGCTCAGTGAGGGGACCACACTTACTCTGAGGCTGTTTGATGAGTAGAAGGGCAAGTGGGGTTTCCTGTGCTTTTTTTCCTGATCACTCACCCCTTTTTTTTCTGGCTGAGCATGCATGGTTGAATTTGCATGAGGTGAACATGTAATATGTGGTTGTGTTGCATTATCGTGTGTGACCATTTGCAACAAATTGGGACTTCAGAAAATGCATTGGAAGTGCAAGTAAATACAGAAGAACAGGATTCACACCATTTATTAATTTAGTTCTAGTCCAAATGGCCAACTGCAAGATGCTGACTTATTGAACAACTGCCAATATAGCAGCAAAAAAGCTGTGGAGAGACCTGTGGCAGAATTTTCTGGCAGGCCATTTTATGGGATGGGTTTTGAAGTGTCTGCCCCCTCACTTAATTCTCAAAATGGTCCTCCATAATAACAACTTTGTGACAAAAGACATGTTTAATCAAGGTAGTATGTTGTATTTCTTTAATTGCCAGTGTACATTTGTGAGGGGAATTGAAATCATTACAATGGAGCAAACTTTGCTGTTGCTGCTATATTATTTGAAAGAGCAACACCACAAAGGGAGAAGGATAAGAGATAGCTAGCTATGGTATAAAGCCAAAACCAGGATATGAGAAATCCACAATTCACATCTCACTCCAGCCATGAACTACTGAGACAACGTATGTGAAGCACTTCAGATTCTAAAGTCCTATATAAATGTTATGTACAGTTGTACCTTGGTTTTCGAACAGCTTAGTTCTCGAACGTTTTGGCTCAGCAAACCCAGAAATGAGTGTTCCAGTTTGCGAACTATTTTCCGTTCAACTTCCAAGGTACAACTGTATTGATATTTTTGCCATAGCAATCTCCATTTTTGTATTGCTCCATTTTTTTATTTGCCATTGTTTATTACAAAATAATGTATGTGTGCCCTATAGAACACAAACTATTAAGGTAATATCAATCCTACATAAACATAGATTTTATGTAAGATTAATATGTGGGGAGGGGGGAGGCAACAATGATACAGTACTTGTTTTAATAGCGCACATCAACCACTGAAAATGAATAGGTAGTTGTTTTTTTAAAAAAGCAAGCTTATATATTGACCAGAGGCGTATTTAGGCTCCCTTGGCAAGGAGATGTGGGCCACCCAACGTGGCAAAGCAGTCCACGGAGTGCTTGGATGGGTGGGCGGGCTCCTAGTCACTCCAAACCAGAGTGAGAGGCACCATTTTTGCAACCCCCTAGGCCTGCGCCTTTGGTAGGGGCCAATCTAACCAATCCCTAGGTATACCTCTGCACATGAGGGCACCCACCACCTTCCATTCCTTCCATCCTACTTGGAGGCTGCTGGTGTCACTGTGCATCTGTGGCTGCCCATGTCTCGTACGTCTTGGGAGGCCCTTCAAGGGCTGAGGCACAAGGCATATTTTGATTTATTTATAATTCAAAGAGGCTAAATTTCCCTATTTTTAGCACCATGCAATGATTCTCATTGTTCCTGATTACCCCAAACTTTTCATCAACCCCACTCATTTTTCTTCACACCTCTGAAGACCTATTGCCCATTTCTCGTATCCTTTCCAATGCCTATCTCTTTTTCTAAGTGGGGTAGCTGTGTGTTAGTGTCTTGCAATAAAAACCAGAGAAAGACTTATGGTGTCTTGGAGCTAACAAATTTATTATAGCAGTGCATAAACTTTTGTGGACTACTGTATTATGCATACTGTATGCATGCACACGAAAGCTCATACCAATAACAAACTTAGTTGGTCTCTAAGGTGCTACCTGAAGGAATTCCCCCCCCCCCCGGCCATAATAAGAGTTAGTCATTACGATGCCACAGTACTTTGTTGTTCCTTTCCTGCATTTCACTCCCTACTCTTTCCCTCCAGTGATTTTCTACCCAGTTTCCCCTGACCAAATTGTGACACTTTTCTCTCAGGACATTTTTAGATCTGGTCCTCTTGGAAGCAACAAAAAAAGTGGCCATCTTTGCTAGTGGCAGCCTGGCCTCAAAGAAAGAATATAGGAAAGTGGCCAGCCATTTTTACCAAGGGCAGGCTTTATGGCTCCGTTGCCATGGCCCTTTGGGAAGACAAAACATATGAGTATTGTATTAGAAGCTGAAAGTACTCTTAAATTCCACATGCTGGAGTGAAACATTCTTATGCCCCATGCTTTCATTAACTTAAGTGGCAAGATGCTTCTGTTAGGATGTTTGGAAGGTAGATTGCACAGAAATATCCAGCTCTAGGATATTATTAAGATTAAATGGAGGGGAAGCCCCATGCACACTCAAGATAGTCCCAGCAAAAGAAAATGTTGATTTTGCCCCAGAAAGAGAATCACGGTTTGCAAACTCATATTGGGTTTGAGGTGGAATAATCCAGAATTGTTCTTTGTTTAGCTTCTGTGATCCTCAGATGAACAGTGGTATATAAATGTAAGGAATAATACATCATCATTCATCATTTCATTTATTACGGCCATAGGCCCATACAGGTAAAAACAACACATAAGTGACAGCTTGTGCCGTGGGGAAAAAAAAACAGTCGCTAAAACACCACTATAAATAAAATACTATAAGATGGAAAGGCATGCTACGCCTTAATTAGCTTGTAGCGCTCCTTGGCGTCGCTTTTGGGAAAGGACAGCGACCAGGAACCTAGCCACTTTCAGGGTCGTGTGGGAATCCTTATCCTGCAAGATTTGGGCAAGGTGGAATTTTGGTGGGGTACCCTCTAGTTTCTGTATGATTGATCCCAACAAATTTGCCCGTGGCACATTGAACAAGGGGCAAGTGAACATAATGTGCTGGAGCGACTCCAGCGTCACCTTATCACATTCACACATGGCGGGGGCTTGGCCCTTTGAGAATCTATGTCTCAGGACATTGGAGGGAAAAACGTTGAACCTCGCTTTGGTGAAGGCCAGTCTATGGGCAACAGTCGAAAGGGAGGAGAGGTATGATGGAACGCAATAAGTTAAAGTGATACCAATGTTCTGGGGCGAACAAACACCTCCCCCCAGCGTATAATTTCGCTGTAAGTCGATGTCAGGAATAATAATAGCTTCATACAATGAAAATAACTATTGTCTGTGATGAATAGAAGCACTCTAGGGAAAGAAATACTAATATTTAGCATTTTTATCATTATTTAGTGTCACGTCATGATGTTTAGAACTCTGCAAATTAAATCAGTAATATCTCCATATTGCAAACGGAATATTGAGGCTAAAAGATATTGACTTGCCTAAGGCATTTTTAAAAAAAATTGTGACCTGATTATTGAAGAGAACACACAGGCTTTGTAAACAATGGCTCAGGTCTTTACCGAGTACAGTCAAACCTGGGTTGTCGAACGTAATCCGTTCCGGAAGCCCGTTCGGCTTCTGAAATGTTAGACAACTGAGGAGCGGCTTCCAATTGGTTGCTAGAGTTTCCTGCACTCAAGCAGAAGCTGCGTCAGACGTTCGGCTTCCGAAAAACGTTCACAGGTTTTCAGCGTTTGGGAGCTGAAATGTTCAAAAATGGAGCCATTCAGGAGCTGAGGTTTGACTGTACTGTCCTATATAGAGTGGGTTTGCTGCAAGGCTGGCTGCTGAGGTGGCAAGATCAGGCATTTTCCCTGCACTGCAAAACTAGCAGTGAGTTCACAACAGCATCGCCATTCCCGCTTTGTATGGGACACCATTTCTTTCTTTCTTTTTAAAGAAAATCCAAATCTCAAAGCACACATCAAGTCCTTGTACAAGTTCTATATCTTTTAATACAAATTATTGATGGCATTAGTTGGATACAATGAAAACACACGTCAGTGTTGCATAGCTGCTCAGATATACAACTTCATTCCTTCAAGTAACTGAAATTAAGTTACTCCATAAATCCACTGTAAACGAGGACTCTGCAATCCAACTCAAATACTTTCAGAATCTTACACGCGCTTGCATTATGAGAACAGGGGCCACTCTGTGGAGGCCAAGACTGGGAACCAATTCAGGGCATTAAAATCACTAGTACAGCATTATTCACATAAAATGAAGAAAACAATTCCTTTATTTGGTACAATTCAAGTAATTGCTAAGTGTTTTTTAAAATGCACAGTGCTTTGGACCGCCCCACAGTTAATCTGTACAGCAGCAGTAACCAGGGGTCAGTATGTTATGGAGAGTGCCTTACACTCCTGGTGAGATTAGAAGCAATACCTCTGTAGTAATGTAGAGCTGCAACATATTTTGGGAAGGGGTGGAGAACATCACTCTGTTTCATTGCCTGCCTAGCTAACTCCACTCTTAAAGTTCTTGTAGTTCACCCAGAGCAGAATGTCATATTCTTTCCTGCTTTAACATGGAGTTACTGCGGATCATCGTAAGTTGGCACATTCTGCTCCTCACTTGGGCTGTGTTTGCTCTTAAGGGACCGCCCAATGTATCTCCAGTATTCCTTCCGAATTATGTCTTTTTCTTTAGCCAGGATTTCACATAGCTACAGAAAGGAGAATTACAGAAATTTAGCTGAGGTGATGAAATGACAGCCAGCAGGGCAACACAAAGGAAACATATTTAGGGTATCTTTACACCTTAAAATATAACACTGACCAGGGTGTAATCTTACCCCCAATGAGAAAAACAAATTGTTTTATGGGATAGATTGTATGTGGGTATTTATTTTGCTTAGAAAGAAAATAGTTAACAGTAATTCATGTTCCTTTGGGAACATCACACACAGAGTACCAGTGACAACATCCTGAAATGGCAAATCAATTGTTATCTCCAAAAGAAAGGAGAAGGCTTAGTATATGCAGCAAGATATTACATTTATATATACCCCATCCCATCTCTTGCAGAATGAAGCGGGTCAGTTCACTATTTTGTCACCTAATTCTGAATACAAACTTTAGCATTTTCCCCAAGCCCCATAAACACCAACAGTGAAGTGGAATAATCATGTACAACTGGAGTATTCATTCACATTACTATATTCCCCTACCAGTTTCAGTTTTCCTAACCTCCTTCTGTTGCTTCCCTTTTCTCTATTTCTAAAGTGTAAGCACCACTGGGCAGGGACCTGCCCTTTCACTGTTTATACAATATTGTAATAATAGTATAATAATTAAAAGGCATCTTTTGGAGTGCAAAGGAAGTTGGTAGAGGGCTTTATCAGCATGTAAAAAAAGACTTTCCTTTTCTCAAAGCAAAATACTCTATCCAGATAATCTGGCAGCTCAGCCTGGCTTTTAAGATTTGGCAAAACAAATGAAATACACAAAGTTCTCTCTCCTACATGGCAGGATAAAATACAAGCCTAATTCTCTTAATGGACACTAAAATACAGCTTTCCAACCCTTCCAGTCTCGTTTTTTTGTCAACCGAAGACTGCATTTCTCAATGTACCACAGGTTATAACCAAGCCTTTAAAAAAAAACCACGGTTCTGACCAAAATAATAATAATAAATAGTGCTGAATCTAGACAGAAAGGCAAATCCTGTCCCTCATGTGTTGACTGGTAGCAGCTGACTGAAAGCCTTTAACAATAAGTCAGAAGTTCTGAGTGCATATTTTAGGGATGAAATGGGAGTCAGCTGATGTACAGAACAGCATATATGGAAAGAGGCAAAATGGTTACACAAAAAGTGAAACCCCTTTAATTTTTACATTTCCTTTGTAGCTGGGATTAAATAGTTAGCAATCTGATAATCAGCATGCATGAAGTAATAGTGACAGCAGTTATACAGCATATTAATACTACATCTTAAACAAGTATTTTCCTCAGAATTATAACTTCCAGACTGCAGTGCATGGCAGAGAAGTGGTCTGTGGCATTTCTGTCCAATTTTCAATTCTGCAAAAATGGATAACATTCTGCAATTATGTCAATTTAAAAATCACTATCCTTCCCTTAAAATTTGTTTGCAGTACCAAAAGTTGGTGCTACCGCATTCAAACTGACAGACTATTTATCCACAGGTGAGATTAAATTCTACAGAAGACTGGAGAAAGAAATCGAGTTCCCCATCTGCTTATTGCAACTAGTCTATTAAAAGGGTAACACAGAGGCTGAACAACTTTTAAAACTAACCTCTAATGCTTTGCTGAGAGTTTCTTCCTTGTTTTCACACTCGTTTTCCAGCATATCTTCATATATGTCCACCAAAAAGGCAATCAGGTAGGGGGAACTATGACTTGGCTGCAATTCCAGTAGCTGTCCTAAGAGGTTTGGATGTTTCGAAAGGCCACGATCCTGCAGGATCCTGAAATAAAATGCAGCTGTGAACGCCACACTTCATTTGCATGTGGTCACCACACCATTTGCTGTACATTACCAATCTGACGCTTCCTACAGAACGTGGAAATCTCCATAAGGCCTATATAAAGTGATAAGCAAGCAACTACAAATAGTGTCAGGTATCATTAACCTGCAACCCATCTCAGCCAGTATCATGAATCAACACCAGGTATTCAGAGGGACGCGGGTGGCGCTGTGGGTTAAACCACAGAGCCTAGGACTGATCAGAAGGTCGGCGGGTCGAATCCCCACGACGAGGTGAGCTCCCGTTGCTTGGTCCCTGCTCCTGCCAACCTAGCAGTTTGAAAGCACGTCAAAGTGCATGTAGATAAATACTTACCACTCCGGCGGGAAGGTAAACGGCATTTCCGTGTGCTGCTCTGGTTCGCCAGAAGCGGCTTAGTCATGCTGGCACACGACCCGGAAGCTGAACATCGGCTCCCTCGGCCAATAAAGCGAGATGAGCGCCGCAACCCCAGTCGGTCACGCCTGGACCTAATGGTCAGGGGTCCCTTTACCTTTATTCAGAGGACAAGCGGCAAGATCCGCCTGCCCCTTAAATATGGCAATGAGCTAAGTGCAAGAGGGAACATGCACAGCTGAGAAAATCCTGGAAAACGAAACAAGGCCCAGGAAAGCACCTCAACAGACCAAGCAGGATTCGGCAATTTGCTCAGCACTAAAGTCTGCACTATGGCTGGAGAACCTGTGGCTCCACAGACATTGTTGGACCCTACCTTCCATCATCTCAGACCACAGGTTATACTGGCTGGGGTTGGGAGACCTGGAGTCCAACAACATCTGGAACTCCATGTGCAATCCGACTGGCCTCCTCCCAGATGTCATCTGGGCACCAGGTACAACTTGAATTCAACAAGGCAGGAGAACCTGCTCAGTTGATGCTGAAACAAAACCCCACCCCACCCACCTCTCCTCTCCTCCCTCTCTTTTTCCCCAACCTTAGACTGTACACAACACTAATTTGAGACACAAATCTGTCTCAAAACTGATCTGCAGAAAAGACTTTACAACCTGAAAAAGAGACACTGCACATACTTTTGTAAACCAAGAAAATATTTAATAAAAATTATTTCTTTTAAAAAAACCCAAACCAATGCTATAGGCTCTTTTGGACCTGTGGTTACTGGTCTCATTCTAATTTTTGTAGCCTTAAAAAAAGAAGAAGATTATGTTGACTGCAAACCACTTTGCTCTATGCAATAAAACGGCTTGCATCAATATAAATATGTTTATGTAAGCCATTTACATTATGTAAGACACCCACCCACCATGTACAGAATAGGCAACAACAACAGTTCTTCACAACTTCTATCCCTGAATACTAGGGGCAGTTCGAAAAATTACATGATTTTAATTTAAAAAAAACCAAAACAAAACCCTGAAGACAACCACATCCTCACCAGTATGTGCTTCCTCTACAATGTGACTCTTAAGCCCATATATCACCTGACATTTTCTTTTCAGATCTTAAACGCAAAGCCTCCAGAGCTGGGTAGTGACAGTCTTTTTCTGGTACCCGAAGCTGATCAATATCACTCTGCACATGCAACAGCACCTTGAAGCACTTGGAGAACTTCCACCCCTCTAGCAAACCTGCGTGGAGGACACAGTCCAGCCATTTTGTGTTTGCACTCCATGCCGTTTTGCAACTCAGTCATCCTCTACTTGTGTTACAGTTCGCTACCCCTGCCAAAACTGGGAGCAGAAAATCATTTGGAGTAACTCCTTCTTACAGCCTCTGGAATTACAAAATATCTGGAATTACAAAATATCCAGGGCTCCGTGTACACCATGCTAAAAATATGGAAGTTATGCAATCAAAAACAAATGGGGAAAAAAGCATAGGTTCTGCATCTTATAGCAATTAGGCAAACTGAATAGATTTACGTTTTCTGTCTTCTTTTGCACAATTTCTTTCTGGTTTTGCTAGTCATGGCGGCAAAGGAAATGCACTTAGAGCTTACCAACCATAGGAAATTGTATTCCACAACTGCATTGGCTGCAATAGGCACCGCCCACGTACATTCACAAATACCTCTGCGGTGAAAGGCTGGAAACTTGTTTTAAAAATGAAAGCAAAATTGTTCAGGAAGCTGAACCCTGGGCCTGCTACTTCGTTCATTTTTATTTTTATTTTCAAAATATAGTCCGCTGTCCGCCCCCAAGGTCTGAGGGACAGTGGACCGGCCCTCTGCTGAAAAAGTTTGCTAAGCCCTGGGTTAGAGTGTTGGAGTCACTGGGTGACCTTGGGCCAGTCACCATCTCTTAGCCTAGCCTACCTCACAAAATTGTTGTGAGGATGAAATGGGGAAGAGGAGATGAACGCCACCTTGAGATCCTTGTAAGATAAAGGTGGTAAAAAGGTAAAGGGACCCCTGACCATTAGGTCCAGTTGTGACAGACTCTGGGGTTGCGGCGCCCATCTAGCTTTATTGGCCGAGGGAGCCGGCATACAGCTTCCAGGTCATGTGGCCAGCATGACTAAGCCGCTTCTGGCGAACCAGAGCAGCACATGGAAACGGTGTTTACCTTCCCGCCGGAGTGGTACCTATTTATCTACTTGCACTTTGATGTGCTTTCGGACTGCTAGGTTGGCAGGAGCGGGGACCGAGCAACGCTCACCCCGGGCTCACCCCGTCGCGGGGATTCAAACCGCCAACCTTCTGATTGGCAAGTCCTAGGCTCTGTGGTTTAACCCACAGCACCACCCACGTCCCTTAAAGGTGGTATATAAATGTAATAAATAAAATAACAAATACTAGCATATTCTGCACTTCAGAATAGCCAAAACCACTAACAAATTTATCTCACCCTTTCAAATAGTTCCAAGCACTTTCATTATGGGGCACCATCTTGATCATTTCTAGGGTAAACCTGAAAAAGAAAAGCAGAGTATTTGATAAAGGAGAGTGGAAATATGGAGTCATATTTTATGTACATCAAAGTACTCATTTTTTTCCAAACAGCAGAGAGTAAACGGCGTTCAGCACAGAGTAGGTGGTATTCAATACCAGTCCTACTCAGAGTAAACCCACTGGACATGACTAGCAGGCTCATTAATTTCAGTGAGTCTACTCTAAGTATGACTTAGCTGAACACAACTAAAAATGTCTTCTCTCCAATAAACAAATTTCCTACCAATGAAAAGATGTTCTACAGATTCTTTTTTTAAAAAAGTAAAGGAAAATAGTGGGGAATATCTCAAGCTAATACTATAGAAAGTTTTATGCACTCAATCCAAGGGCATGAGTTTTTATGTCCTTAGCTCAGCTTTCAACAACTTGGTGCCTTCCAAATTTTGAGGACTACAACTCTCAAACTCTGCTGTGCTGGTTGGGGCTGATGGGAGTTGTAGTCCCTAACATCAGGAGGCATCAGGTTGGCAGAGGCTACTTTATCTAATGGTTGTTGTTGTTGTTTAGTCGTTTAGTCGTGTCCGACTCTTCGTGGCCCCCTGGACCAGAGCACGCCAGGCACTTCTGTCTTCCACTGCCTCCCGCAGTTTGGTCAAACTCATGCTGGTAGCTTCGAGAACACTGTCCCACCATCTCGTCCTCTGTCGTCCCCTTCTCCTTGTGCCCTCCATCCTTCCCAACATCAGAGTCTTTTCAGGGAGGAGTCTTCTCTTCTCATGAGGTGGCCAAAGTATTGGAGCCTCAGCTTCAGGATCTTTCCTTCCAGTGAGCACTCAGGGCTGATTTCCTTAAGAATGGAGAGGTTTGATCTTCTTGCAGTCCATGGGACTCTCAAGAGTCTCCTCCAGACCATAATTCAAAAGCATAAATTCTTCGGCGATCAGCCTTCTTTATGGTCCAGCTCTGACTTCCATACATCACTACTGGGAAAACCATGGCTTTAAAACCCAATATACTAAAACAAAAAGAAAAACCATGCAAGGATATATAAGCAAGTATCTCTGATGTATCCTTCTGCCTGTGACAAGTGTAAATGGCCTCAAACGAAGGTGAGTATTTATTTTACTTACTGGACTTCTCTCTCTAAAACAGCAGGGTCGTTATAACCAGTTGTGTTTGAAATGACAAAGTATCTTTGGTTCCAGACAGAATTGTTTCTGACATCATCTTTCAGGAGCTGTTCCACATACTCCAGTTCATCGTCCCACAGTTTAAATTCCTAAAAGCACAACAATAAAGGAGAAATGCTAGAAGGAAGTACATTTGGGAAATAGCCTCATTTCCACATACAGCCGCAACTGAAGCAATTCTAGATTTTAAGAGTTAGGCAACAAAAAATTCAGGATGAATAGAACAATAAAACAAGACAGTTTTTAGCAAGCCAAGATGCTCATGAGAAAAGCAACGATACAGACACGGTATAGCATCTTGAATACCATACACAGGAGAATGTCATGAGAGTCATGTCAATAATTTACCATTAATCATGAGATTAATTACTTATAATCAAGAGTTAGAAGGGACCCCAAGGGTTATCTAGTCCAACCCCCTGCAATGCAACCTTGATTAATCATTTCAAAGCAGGAATAACCTGTATACATAAATGACAGTTCCCAACATTCTGTCACACTCTAGTATGACCAAGAAACTGAACCCAAAATTTGGGGCACCTTTTTGCTTCCTTAGCAGTTTGGTCAATGGTTGTCATTCATTCCCAGGGTTAGGAGGTTCAGAAATAAAAGTGACGCAAATGGGAACAACATTGCAGAGGGGGCAAAATCTGCCTTCTACCCACCACAGTGATTGGTGAAGGGATTCCACTCCCAGTGGCATTCCCCAGGGCTCCTTGCAATGTACAATATCAGTGGGCATTTTGCTACTAAGAGCAACATCAAAATACCTGAATGACCCACTGCCTGTGCTGCCATGCATGGTAGTTCTTGGCATCCTGGTTAAGAATGTCTGCTATAAATTCAAGTTCCTGGGATGGATCCTTCAGCCACTCCACCAACACTCGTCTGTGGTGCCTAAAACATGAAGAAATCCTTATTTAAACAAAACTTTTTTAAAAACCATCATCCCTTCAGTGCCTGTTGTGAAGGATAATGGGAATTTGCACTCAAAAACAAAAACGTTCAATGGAACAGTAATTGAATGAGTGGCACATTGTCATATTTGGTTGTTTCTGATCTTGTAGTGCGAGACAGCTCATTAAAGGCCGCAATGTTCTATCACACCGCTCGGCAACTCTCCCGCTGAAAGTGCGAGTTGCACCCACTGACGAACATTGTGTTTTGAGTTTATACGAGGCAGAAAGAAAGCTGTCCTTGCAGCAATTAATCTACTTAGCTTATTCATATGCACAATTTCATCATCTGATGCCACAGTCACCAAGCAAGTGATGTACGTGTCTGAATTTGCCACGTTTTCTGTGCAAAGTATTAATAGGCATTCATCAGATGGGGCACAGAGTCCCACCCACAGATGCAACACCCCCAATGCATGCAGTCTTAGCATGGCATCTCAGGAAAACCAACAGATTCTTGCCCACAACTTTCCTGCTAGCAAAAGGATTTTCAGGCACTTTACAAGATCCACATGGCACTGCCCTGCTTTGTCAAGTACTGGAAGATGCTGTAGCTGTAACAGTGTAAGCTACCAGCTCTACTGCTGGATTAAAGCAGCCTCATTGGGCTTAGGCTGCCCTTCTGGGTTTGAGCTATTGTTGGACCATTAGCAAATGAGGAAACAAAAGAAATGCAGGCTGTTGTGTTAAACTGAGCCTGGGGTGGGTAAGGAAACAGACCGAGAACGCAGTCAAAAAGCATCTGCCAGCCTGCCATATTCAAGCCAAGGGCAAATAAAGAGGGACAAAGGCAACCATGAAAACAGCCTAGTTATCTATGGCGAGCACAAACTGCACAAAGGTGATCAGATAGGGAAGTTTACAAAGGTAATGTTATTTGTTATGCTATGAAGAACTAGTAAGTAGGCTTTTGACCATTTTCATAGACTAGTAATTGTTGATGGACCTAGTAGCTTGGCTTATAAGGACATTTTGCTCACCTTCCCAAAGCATTTATGTGGACGTCAAATTATTGTTGTTTTTCATTAAGAATGTTTATAAAGAATTTTGAATTTTATGTGATTGTGAGTGTGTGTGCCCCCCCTGAAATCTTTTTGGTTTGCTGCATTATAATATATTAACATACCTCATAATATATTAACATACACCACTGTAATGCTTCTCAAGTTATATACAGAAAATGGCCAATGAAATGTTGCTTTGGGTCCCCCCCCCTTTCTTTCTGTTGCTGTTTGTGCATGTTTGCAAACACTCCTACTTTCTTGTTTTTCTATAAGCATTGACAATACTGGCATTTCTGCAAAACGTATTATGTAAGTCGTGTCATCATATAAACAAAACCCTCCTCATCTTAAGCATTCTTGCCATGTACAATGGTCTCCATGTAAGGATTCTGCACTTATAATTTAGAAAGGGAAATAACTTTCCTTATCAAAAAGGAGCCAGACATTACCAGACTTGATAATTCTTTGGCTGATCTTCAATGATAGCTGTGATATAATTGAGTTCCTCGTGTAGATCTTTGTTCAGGGACTGCAGAAGAACCCTGCGGAAATGCCTGCAGAAGAAAAAACAATCATCAGACAAGAAAAATACTCTTCAGCAAAATGCGAGACCCAAAGAAGAATACTCAGGAGGACCTGCTCCTTCAGGCGGCCTTAGTGCAGCCATTCAGAGATTTCAAAGTGAACACCAGCACTTTTCATTGAGGCCAGCAGTCATTGGCTGTTGGAGGACAGATATTGCATGGCTCTCCTCATCTTCTTCCAGAAGAGAGTCTAGCCATTACATTTTGGATCACCTGCAGTTTCTGGATATATATATATATTTAAAGAAGACAGCCAAACTTAGAGCTCATGACAGTAATCCAACCTCAACCTCGAGGTTACAGTGCCATGCATTAATGGCATCCATGTCTCACGGTATACAAGTCTCACATGAGCAATAATTTTCTGCAAGGAAAATGTCTACTCACTTATTTTGCAACAAGGCCTGGAAAAGTAGCATTTTAGCACAATTTCACTACTAGTTTCTTGTGCTTAAGTTAAAAATGCATTTTAATCAAGCTATTCAGATAAAAATTACTTAAATATTAGAGATACCACACAAAAATAAAAGAAATTCAGACTCAACTTCTGGTTTTCTTCATGTATACTCAGCAATTCCCAACTAACAATAAATGACAGATTCATCATCGCTACATACCACACAGTGTAGTTCGCAGCATTAAGATCAATGGCATCCCCCGTTAAGTTGAAAGCTCTTTCGCTCCTTTCATCACATTGCAGAACAGCCCTGAAGTAATCATATACATCTTTAACTAGAGAGAGGGAGAGAAATTGCTTTATATCAAATCACTCTCTGGCCTTCCTTCTTGGTTAGAAAAGCCAAAATACCCATCTAGTCCACAATCCTGTTCTCACAGTGGCCAACCACAATTATGGGAATCCCTCAAGCTGGCTATGAACACAACAACCGTCTTCCCCAGCGACTGGTGTTCAGAGGCATACCAGGGCCATTGCTGGAGGCAGTACACCAGCCATCATGACCATCAATTGTCTTATCCTCCTCAAAGGACAAAGATCTTCTCATCTCTTCCCAAAGTACTACTGCCAAAACCATTCACATCCCTGATGGCTTAGACCCTGGGCTCCCTAGACTGGCTCCCTATCCAGCATAAACACCCTGTGGCCTTCAAAGCTCTCCACTGCTTTGCCCCACCCTCTCCCTGCCCTTATTACCTGTCACGTCCTTACCTGTGATCTTCCCTTCTCCAACTCTTGGCACCCTAAGCCATTTTCAGTATGATGCAACACCTGTAACAGTGCCAGTTCCGCAGTTCAAAGCAGCCAAGTGGGTCTATATGGGGTAAGGCCATCTTACAGGTAACCTGGTCCCAAGTTGTTAAGGGCTTTCTATAATAGTAACACTTTGAACTTGGCCTGCTAGCAAACCGGCAAGCAGCGCAGGTTTCCCAGCTCAGGTGCTATATGCTGGCAGGGTCTTGCTCTGCTGCATTCTACACTAACTGCGGCTTCCAGATCAAGAACAAGGGAAGTGCCACACAGTCCACATTGCTTTCTTAATCAACTCTGCCTGTTCACCCTTATGCCTGGAACTCTTTCTCAGAAAACCGACACAGTTTGAGTCTCTCTCTCTTTGGTCACCTCCCAGCCTCTTCCTTTAAATCCTTCTTCAAAATGGCTTTAACCTTTAATTACCATTTTCAGTTGAAGTTAACTTGTTAACATTTGTCGTGCGTTAACTTTGCCTCCCCTCCTCCCTCTTTGTCACTCCCACTGTTGACACTTGGATTGAAGACTCGGAAGAGGAAGGAACCTGTCCTCTCTATTTTTTTGGCTTATTGTGTTTTATTTACTTACTTAACAAAACTTATATACTGCTTGATTGTAAGAAAACCTCTAAGCAGCTTACAGAAATATTGTTTTAAACCCACCCCCACCCACTGAAGGTACAGTAATCTGGAAAATGCACCTAAAACGTAAATACCCTTTTGGTACGTTTGTAGCTTGCTTTTAAAGTAGCAGCATTAACTAGCATTAAAGCTACTGATTTATCTGCATCTAGATTATCTACTAAAAACAACAACTCTGACACCTCTTTATTGATGGTATTTTCTTCTGAAGAAACCCAGGGCAATCAAGCATCAAATAAGGTTTAAATGTGTATCCCAGGTTCTCATATACATGAAGCTTTAATGATAGCTTTCTAATATGTGGGTGGGGTTGTAAACAATCTTTAGCCCCACCTAAGTGCTAGTAGCAAGTGCAGTTCTAATCTCACACCCTCTTTCATGACCTGAATCATCCTAATTGCCTTACTCTGTCAGTTCTACTTCTGAATTCCCATAAAGACAATAGTAATGAAGAATGAATCACCTTTCTATGGCCACACCTCTAGTTAGGTGGGCATACCGATTTTATTTTTTAACCGAAGAACTTGAAACTTACACTTTTCACTATATATGATCTGGACTACTGGATTTGGCCCATCATCTTGAGGTACTGGCTCAACATCAGCCCATTCCTTCCTATCCCTGTAAAAATAATAATAATCATAATTTGACAACCAGGGGGAAAGTATGAAATACTAGGATATATATTGTTCAGAGCTACTGCGTAAAAACCAAGGTTGGTTCGCACATGTGGGCAGCACTGCATGATTCCTTTAGGCAATTTCTCCACTGCCCTGCACCCCATCCACAATTTCCCTATTTCCAACCACATGTTTCATGACATTATAAAAGTAATTCAGAGTGCCTCTCCATCTATGCTAAGCACAGCGATCACCCCCTCTCCGGGAATAAGGAGGCCCAGGAAAGTGGACTATGCTATTTCCAAACACACCTGGGCATCCTTCATTTTAAAAACCCAAGCCTTGCTTAGGCAAATCTGTTTCATTCATTTATCTGGACATTTACACCCCGACTTCCTAAAAAAACCACACCCAAACTCAAAAGACACACAAACTTAGCAATAAACCAAACAGCAGGTTTGGGGCTTGGGGCTTTCATAAAAGAGGCATCTAGTGATGTATGGAAGTGAGAGCTGGACCATAGAGAAGGCTGATCGCCGAAGAATTGATACTTTTGCATTATGGTGGTGGAGGAGACTCTTGAGAGTCCCATGGACTGCAAGAAGATCCAAACTATCCATTCTGAAGGAAATCAGCCCTGAGTGCTCACTGGAAGGAAAGATCCTGAAGCTGAGGCTCCAATACTTTGGCCACCTCATGAGAAGAGAAGACTCCATGGAAAAGACCCTGATGTTGGGAAAGATGGAGGGCACAAGGAGAAGGGGACAACACAGGACGAGATGGTGGGACAGTGTTCTCGAAGCTACGAGCATGAGTTTGACTAAACTGCGGGAGGCAGTGGAAGACAGGAGTGCCTGGCGTGCTCTGGTCCAGGGGGCCACGAAGAGGCGGACACGACTAAACGACTAAACAACAACAACAAAAGAGGCACCCTGAGGTTACAATCCTAAGCACGCTTACCTAGGGGTCGATGCCATTGGACTTCATGGGGCTTACTTATGAGTAGATGTGCAAAGGTCTGAGCTCCAAAACTCACTCACTCTCTCTCCATATATGATTAAGTTTTGGAGCGCAGTCCTTTGCACGTTTACTCATAAGTAAGCCCCATATATATATATATATATATATATGTATATAAAACACTACATTCGCACATACCTGTACAGGACGTAGCCGTCGGTGTCCAGGAGCAGCCCGGAGTCCAGCTCGCTGTCCCCAGCGGCCTCGCCTTCCGCCTCCAGGTGAGGAGCGCAGGGCTCGGGGTCTAAGCCGCCTTCCCCGTCCGCCATCATCACAGCCGCCTCCCGCCCACCCCGGAAGAGAGGAAGCGGCGGAGGCTTCTCTATGAGGAACAAGCGCCGCCCCGCGCCATAGAGGCGCAGCTGCTGGGCCTAGAGCGCCTCCACCACGAAAGAGCCGCGCCGGAAGGAACGGGAGAGATTCACAGCGCCCTCCTTTCTCTCTCCGCCAACGGGAACAAGGCTTTTGCCATAGAGATAGGAAAGCGGAAGTCGCCGCACCGGAAGTGCAGGAAGAACAAGATGCCCCAAGAGCTTTGCGTTCCTTAGTTCCACTTCGGGTACTCAGGTGAACGCCTTCATTGCCATATGCAAGGCATCGTAGGGCTTTTCCTCTTCTGTACCTTTAATATATATATTGATCTATATTGATAAATAGCATACTTAGATCCGTGGTTCCCAATGTGGGGCACATTAATTAACAGTTAATTAATTAATTAACAGGGGGGCAATTAATTAACAGTTAATGGCATGTTAGGCTTCCTCCACGTGAATAGGAATTCACTTTTTGAATAATAAGAATTATATGTCACGGTGGGGGGGGGGTCAGGATTTTAGAGATGCTCAGGTGGGGTATGGCCAAAAAAGGTCGGGAACCACTGATTTAGATATACATTATATACATACATACTATACTATACATACATACATGCATGCATGCATATATATTACATGTCTTGCAAGGGAACAGGATCAGGATCACCCTCCTGAGAATAAATAATTTTGTGGGTGGGAGATGAAGAGCATGATTATTTCAAAGCACTGCAAATACCTGCTTTAAAGGGTAAAGGTGAAGGGACCCCTGACCATTAGGTCCAGTCGTGACCGACTCTGGGGTTGCAGCGCTCATCTCGCTTTATTGGCCGAGGGAGCTCACCCCGTCGCGGGGATTCGAACCACCGACCTTCTGATCGGCAAGTCCTAGGCTCTGGTTTAACCCACAGCGCCACCCGCATCCCCACCTGCTTTATTTACCTTTAAAAAAACAACAAAAAACATTTTCCCCCCCATGCGTGGAGTAATCGGAGGGCTGCTAAGTCGGAGCCTGTGAAGATGTTTTTAACCGTGTCTCTTGGTAGGAAAGGGTCGAATCCAGTCTCTTTCTCTTGCTTATGGTTCCTCCTACAGGATGGAGGTGCTCAAGTCTCTATATCATGGGGGGAAATGTGCAGCATTGCTAGTGGGGACCTGTGGAGATGACCAAATACTATCTGAGAAGAGGAGCAAGATCAGTGGGGTCTACTCCCAGATATATGCGTGTAGGATTGCAGCCTGATTCTTACAACCTGATCCCTAGGCACGTGCACTCAGGAGGAAGTTCCCAGTGAGTTCAATGGGGCTTACTTTCAAGCATAGTGATACAACTTTAAGAAGAAAAACAAATATACATGATTTTGTACACATTTTTGGGTTGGAGAACTGCACTGCAGAATTCAGAGTTGTGTGAATTTTGGAGGATGGCTAGGACCCTCGTACCTACGGGACCGCCTCTCCTGGTATGTCCCATGGAGGACCTTATAGTCTTCAAATAAAAACATTTTGGAGATCCCGGGCCACAGGGAGGTTAGGCTGGCCTTGACCAGAGCCAGGGCTTTTTCGGCCGTGGCCCCAAGCTGGTGGAATGCTCTGTCACAAGAGACTAGGGCCTTGCGGGACTTGGCATCTTTCCACAGGGCCTGCAAGACAGAGCTTTTCCACCAGGCCTTTGGCCAAGGCACAGTCTGAGCTCCTCTCTCCTTTTGTAATCCTCATAGAACTCTAGCCCAATGGTTGCCATCAATTTGATTCTGAATTGATTTTAGAATGTATTTCAATTAATTGACTCTGATTTATTGTAAACTGTGCTATTTTTATTGTTGTTAGCTGCTCTGAGCCTGGGGAGGCAGGATATAAATAAAATTTTATTATTATTATTATTCAATAAGTGTGAATTAGGCAGATTCATGTTAATCCCATCCGTACACAGGGATTTTCTTCTTTACCATTGTGTCATAACTTTGAGGACTGGTATTTTAAACAGAATTCAATAGAGAAAGTACTGGTACAGGAGTTGCGTTTGCAAGAATGCAACTTGTCTGAGGTTTGTGAGGTGACATTTATAACAGAGGCTATTTATGATTTGCAACACAGTTTCTAGCTACTGTGTAGGCAGCAGGGGAGGTGGACCTGTGATCCTGATGCTGCTGGACTCTTAACTCCCATCCGTCTCATAAAATATGGTTAATGGTTAGGAAGAGTAGAAGTTGTAGTCCAGCAGCATTCGGAAGACCACAGATTCTCCACCCCTCTCAGAGGCTGCATAAATACAAAATTTCTGCAAAAAAAAGAAGAAAAAAGGCAGCTCCTGAACCTTTAACAGAAGAGGGAAATTTCAGCACTGTACCTGCTGTTAGGTTGCAGGAACCCTGCCCTCCTTTGCACCTGGTCGCCTCTGCCCAATACAAACTTTTGTTGTTGTTGTGTTGTTGTTTAGTCGTGTCCATGGGACTCTCAAGTGTCTCCTCCAGCACCATAATTCAAAAGCACAAATTCTTCAGCGATCAGCCTTCTTTATGGACCAGCTTACCCGGTGTAAATGAGGTTTAGTCTGCAGCCTTAATTTCCAAGTAAACATGCACAGAGCTGGGCTGTACATTTTGCTTTTATGTATCATTACTTTGGTTTTCTCTATAAGCTAAAATAGATCATTACAACCCAGTCCAGACAGATCTCCGTGGGAGAGCAGGAGTCTTCAGACAATGCACACATGCAGAGTGACATCTGGATTGCTCATCACAGAGCTCACCCCATCGTGGGGATTCGAACCGCTGACCTTCTGATTGGCAAGTCCTAGGCTCTGTGGTTTAACCCACGGCGCTAGCTTACTTCATCTTAAACTTTCTCAGTAGTGAGAATGCAGTAACCTCTTGATTCCTGTGGATGGCAGAGCAGGTCAAGTAACATGGTTATATTCCATCTCATTATCACATCATCAGCCAATATCTATCTATCCAACACCAAATTATCTTCAACAATCAAAGTCTATGACAATGGTGTTTCATGTTGAATGTAAACGAACTGTGAAAAAAGACTCTTATGAATTGAAAGTGGAGATGCTATATGTACTTTTTGTTTGTTTTCGTTTCACAAAAAAATCTAAGTAAAAATAAAAAATAATTTAAAAACAACCAGAAGCAGTGTGCTATCAAAGGTTTTTTATTTTAAGTGAAGTAGAGTAAAGTATGATGCAGCCAGAAAGGGGGGGGGGGGGGAGAGAGAACGGCAACACCACAGAAAACAACATAGGAAGTCAACTTTAAATTTGTATTAAATTGAATTAATTGGATGTAAATTCATTTTAAAAATTGAAAAGTAATAACAATTAATTAGCAAAAGGGACACATGATATATAATGGAGGGAATTCTATATGTACCTCCTAAGCTGGGAGGTGCTGACAGGCTAAAGGCCTGATCCCTGTAATATGAATAATGGGCCTCCTGATAAGATCCTATGTGCAGGATGCCCTCTTCTGCAGAGCACAGCTGGGTACATAAGGGGTGAGAGGATTTTCTCAGGATCCCGACCCCAAACTGTAAAGGGCTTTGTACAGCAGATCCAACACTCTGAATTTTGTTCAGTACTGTACTAATTTGTACAGTACTGTAGCTAATTGGCAGCAGGTTCAACATGGTGCTTATAATCTGCCAAGTTGCTGCATTTTGCAGTAGCTGGATTTTCTGTGTCAGCTTCAAGGATGTCCCTTAAAGTGGGGTGGGGAGGCACAAGACAAGTTCAGAGCAAACAAAAAACCTAACTGTGCACTACTATCTGTCCTGAGTGTTTGGTGTAAGGTAAAGGTAAAGGGACCCCTGACCATAAGGTCTAGTTGCGGATGACTCTGGGTTTGCGGCGCTCATCTCGCTTTATTGGCCGAGGGAGCCAGCGTACAGCTTCCGGATCATGTGGCCAGCATGACTAAGCCACTTCTGGCGAACCAGAGCAGCGCATGGAAACGGCGTTTACCTTCCTGCCAGAGCGGTACCTATTTATCTACTTGCACTTTGACGTTCTTTCGAACTGCTAGGTTGGCAGGAGCAGGGACCGAGCAACGGGAGCTCACACCATCATGGGGATTTGAACCGGCGACCTTCTGATCAGCAAGTCCTAGGCTCTGTGGTTTAACCCACAGCACCACCCACGTCCCTATAGTGTTTGGTGTATGTGTGCATATATTGTTGCTGGCACCTGTCTGTCTCAAGAGACAGTGTGTGTGTGTGTGTGTGTGTATTATTTTCATCCCACCGTTTCTCCAAAGGGCTCGAAAGGGCATACATGAGCCATTCCAAGCCATCCTCACAATGACCTTGCTGTTAGGCTGTGATTGGCCCTAAGCCACCCAGTGTGTTCAATAGCCGAGTGAGGATATGAACCTGTTCTCCTAGGCCATGGGTAGGCAAATAAGGCCCGGGGGCCAGATCTGGCCCAATCACCTTCTAAATCTGGCCCACGGACGGTCCAGGAATCAGCGTGTTTTTACATGAGTAGAATGTGTCCTTTTATTTAAAATGCATCTCTGGGTTATTTGTGGGGCATAGGAATTCATTCATCCCCCCCCCCCAATATAGTTCAGCCGCCCACAAGGTCTGAGGGACAGTGGTCCGGCCCCCTGCTGAAAAAGTTTGCTGACCCCTGTCCTAGGCACATCACAATGCCACATCAGTGGCTGGATAGCTCAGTTGGTAGAGAATGAGATTCTTCATTCCAGGGTTGTGGGTTCGAGTCCCATGGTGGGTGAAAGCATAGGCTCCAACTTCCCCCAATAAAATATTTGAGGGGGGACCACCCCCCTCAAGTTGATGGGCATTGCCATTCAAATAGCGAGTGCCACATCACGTGATTGATTATGCAGGATGGGGCTTACCTGCCACCCGCCCCCCAATATTTTATTCAAGTTGGCACCCCTGGGTGAAAGATTCCTGCCTTGCAGGGGGTTGGACTTGATGACCCTTGTGGACCCTTCCAACTCTACAATTCTATGACCAGTTATGCATATTTCAAATTATTTATGCATATGAATATATATTTGAAGAGTAGATATATATATATTCATATGCATAGATAATTTGAAATATCTATTTGAAGAGTATACATATTTCAAATTATCTATGCATATGAATATATATTTGAAGAGTTGATAAGACAGATAATTTGCTGGCTGCTGAATTTCTTATTTTCAGTTTTATGTGAACTCTCCCTGAGAAGAAGGCGCGATGCACAAATTACCTTAAGTAAAGACATGCTAAGCATTATTAAGGGATAAAAGACGGAACTGTCCCGCCTTAAATGATTCGGGTGTGTGTGTGTGATCCTCAGCTGCTTTGTGATGAATGATCTCAAAGGGCTTTTTAGCGCTCCTGTATAGATATATGTATGTATTCCACTGACGCAGCTCAGTCCTCCAGCTGGCAAAGAGCTTTAGCATAATGCAGCAGCCGTCCATCCTGCAAAAGCGAGAGCCGCAGCCGCCGGTTCTTTTAAACAGGAAACCCGTTCCCCTAAAATACTCCCCCCCCCGATTGTAGCTGATGCTTAATTTATTTAATTGCGTGTTGTTGTTGTTGTTTCCTACCCCGCTTGCCGAGATCGCCTGGCACGGGGGGGATGGTTTCTTCCAGGGAGGGAATGACTTCGCTAAAATGCTGATATTATTAGTGCAATTAGACTAACTTTCCTTTACAAAATCTAAAGAGAAAGAGAGACGACGTCGCCTCTCCCCGCAATTCCTGGCTCCGGCTCTGCTTCCCAAAGCTGGTTCCTAAGTGAAACCAGGAACGTGGGAATTCATGAACTGGATTTCCCAGGCGCTTTCCCAAACGGACGCTCGGTTTTAGCACTGTAGCTTTCCCATCCTTCTCCAGGTTTTGCAGTAATCCGGAGAGCTGTTAAAAAAACAAAAAGTACAAACTGAAAGTAAAAAACAAAAAAACCAACCCACAAAAAACAGCCTAGCAGCAACAAGACGGAAGAGCTGTTATCCGGGGTGAGTTTTTTTTAAAATATAATATAAATATAGATATATAAACATACACAGAGGGAGAGACAGAGACAGATTTCCTGCAGTCTAGGATGTTACACAATGCTATAAAGATGAAGGAGCCGCTTGAGGCTGTTGTATGTTTTAAAGGACTGGGGGAAAGAGAGAAAAGAAAGACTTTCTTGGTTCCCTGAAGCTTCCCCCGCCCTCCCAGCTGCCCTGATAAAAGGGCCGTTTGAGTCTTTCAGTCCATCGGGAAACAAGGGTATGAATTCAGATTTCTATTCGTGTTTTGCTGCCTGGTCCCTTGTGCCTGTAACAGAAGGCTGATGGGGAAACGTTTGCTTGCTTAATTCTCACGTTTTATTTTATCCTTGTGCCAGGAACAGCTTTACTTTAAAAGAAGAAGAAGTAGTATTAGTTATGCTTTGTCACCACTGTTCAAGGCAGAGGAGTAGGGCCAGTAAAAGAAAGTTGGCAACTTTGACTCTGGAAGCTTCTTCTAGTCAAAGGGATCCTTATACAGTGGTACCTCGGGTTACAGACGCTTCAGGTTACAGACGCTGCTAACCCAGAAATATTACCTCGGGTTAAGAACTTTGTTTCAGGTTGAGAACAGAAATCGTGCAGTGGCGGGGCAGCGGGAGGCCCCATTAGCTAAAGTGGTACCTCAGGTTAAGAACAGTTTCAGGTTAAGAATGGACCTCCAGAACAAATTAAGTTCTTAACCCGAGGTACCACTGTGCTACCCTGTTTAAAGTGAGAGGTCTTGTCTTGTGTGAGTCTTAGCTAGTTAACAGAAGTGCTGCGCCAAAGTATCCCACGAAAAGGAAACAAATTGCTTCAGGTTTTTTGTTCCAGACAGTTAATCCAGGGGCAAGAGGATGCCAGTACTCTGCTTATTGGTTAATAAGCAGAGTCAATGAAGCTATTTAAGGCAAGAAGCCATCCTTCAGAAAATGGAAGACTTGGGCAAATGAAAAAATAAATAAATACAGATTTTTGTTAACATAAATGCAATCAAACCATGATGGGGACAACAAAAAGCTTGAGGAGCGTGTTCCTAAAAACATACCGTAAGTGCCAACCATAGAAAATATTTAAGTACAGCAGTAGCAGGAAATGAGATAGGGAGCTTTCAGCAATGACCGGAGTCAGATACATGCTAAAAGAGGCAAACAAGATGGTAGAGAAATTGAATGTGTTGTTCACACTGGAAGTCGGAGGGCAGATAGATTCCTGTGCCTGAACCAACTTTTTTTGGAAAGGGAACCTGAAGAAGTGAGTGGTGACAAGGTTTTAGGCCTTACTGACAAATTAAAAACTGACATATCACTGGGTTCAGATGGCACTCTGTTGAGATTTCCTAAAGGACTCAAATGTGAAGTTGCTGGTCTTCTAACAAAAGTATGTATATCTTGACACTTAGATGAGCCTCCATACCTGCAGACTAGAAAGTGGTCAGTGGAACATCAGTTTTTAAAAGGGGGTTGCCTGCACAAAGCCCATAAGGACCATAAACTAGTTATTAATAGAAACTCTGTTATATATAAAGAACACTGAAGTTATTGGGCTGCAGAATTCCATTCCTAAAATGAAAGGCTGTTCTCTTTTGTACTTGTATAGTGACAGACATAAAACACACAAAGCCTTGATTACGATGAAATAACATTTGCGTCCAATATCTTTTCTGATATAAAGTGAAGTGCAGTACAGTCATACCTCGGGTTGAAGTAGCTTCAGGATAAGTATTTTTTAGTTGCGCACTGCTGCGACCCAGAAGTAACGGAGCACGTTACTTCTGTGTTTCGCCGCTCAACGCATGCGCAGACGGTCAAAATAATGGCATGCGCAGAAGCGGTAAATCGTGACCCGCGCATGCGCAGACATGTGGACATGGGTTACGTTCGCTTCTGGATGCGAATGGGGCTCCGGAATGGATCCCGTTCGCATCTAGAGGTACCACTGTACAGTGGTACCTCGGGTTAAGTATTTAATTTGTTCCAGAGGTTCGTTCTTAACCTGAAACTGTTCTTAACCTGAAGCACCACTTTAGCTAATGGGGCCTCCCCCTGCTGCTGTGCCACAGCGGTGCGATTTCTGTTCTCATCCTGAACCAAAGTTCTTACCCCAAGGTACTATTTCTGGGTTAGCAGAGTCTGTAACCTGAAGCGTATGTAACCTGAGGCGTATGTAACCTGAGGTACCACTGTATATCAAACTGGGTGTACCAGTGCCTCTAAAACACACCTCTGCCCTGTTTTCCTTTAGCAGATGCATTCGCTTCCAAGAAGTCATTGGTTCAAGAAGCTGCATGGTAGAAGATCAGAAATGCGGCCAATTTTTCATCACTGCCCTTGATGGCATCGGTTCCCCCATCACTGGTGGCAATGGAGAAGGACCAGGAGGTGAAGGGAAACAGCAGTTAAGACCATCTGTGGAGTATGTTGCAGCAATTCTGAAGAGGCAACACCTGCTTCTTATGCCCAAACGTAAGGCATGAATGCAATGAGGAAGAAGAGATTTTGGGCATCCTGTTTCTGCTTAATGGCCATCTTTTTTCTGCTTGTCACCCTCCAGGTACTACAGATACTCAGGGTCAGGAGTTGAGCACTGATTTAGGCTGAAACATGCCATACTCTTAATCTTAGGGTCATGGCTTCAAGTTCCACATTGGGCGAAGAATTCCTGCATTGCAGGGGGTTGGACTAGATGACCCTCGTGGTCCCTTCCAACTCTAGGATTCTATTGCGGGATTGTTCACATGAAGGGAAGTGAGGGCAGGCTTGCCCACCCAGACAGCTTCAGCACATAACCTTTCCCTGGGTCTCCAGGTCCTAAGGGAGATGCTCTTTTGTCTATCTTTCTACCCCAGGGGTACGGCGTCTCCATGACCACCCTGATTCTATTTATATTTATTTATAAAGGCACCAACTCATATAAGAAAAACACTGTGGCTGTGTGCACCCAAAACACAACGGACTAAAATATAATAATACACCAAAGCAAATGACCAACAATAGATTTCTCTAAATAAAAACTCCTGACAAGACCAAAACAAAAACACCTCGTTTTCAGCAGATGACAGAGCATCAAAATTGTAGGTGCTTGACTGATTGCATTGGGATAGAAGTAAGTGGTTGCGCATGCATGGAACAAGGCCTGTTCCTGCATCAGGATTTCCCCACTGTCTCCTTTACCCATGCCCCCCTAAATCTGTTCTGGAGGGTTGGGGGAACACCCAGACATAGGGGGCGAAGGGGGTAATTCTTGTTGCGTGAGCAGACCTTGCATGCATGCCACAGTTAGCACTACACGGAATTACATCCAATAGGAACAGTGTTCCAAAATACTGGGGCCGCTATTGGTGCCATGGATGTTGGACTCTCAGCTGTCATCTGCCCCAGCCAGCATGGCCAATGGTCAGGGCTGATGGGAGTTGTGTACTCCTGCAACATCCCTTCCCTGAGGCAACGCTCCCAACCTCTGCCCTCTGCTGATGAGCTTCCCCCATTGATGGATTTTTCATTAGTAAAGGAATTTGATGCATGCATCATATTAACATGTGAAGCTTTTAGCAGTACAGTGGTACCTCAGGTTAAGTACTTAATTCGTTCCGGAGGTCCGTACTTAACCTGAAACTGTTCTTAACCTGAAGCACCACTTTAGCTAATGGGGCCTACCGCTGCTGCCGCGCCGCCGGAGCCCGATTTCTCTTCTCATCCTGAAGCAAAGTTCTTAATCTGAAGCACTATTTCTGGGTTAGTGGAGTCTGTAACCTGAAGCGTATGTAACCTGAAGTGTATGTGACCTGAGGTACCACTGTATGGAGGTAAATATTATGAGCTAATGCAGGGTTCCTCAACCTTGGCCCTCTGGACGTTTTTGGCCTACAACTCCCATGATTCCTAGCTAGCAGGACCAGTGGTCAGGGATGATGGGAATTGTGGTCTCAAAACATCTGGAGGGCTGAGGAAGCCTGAGCTTCTCAGGGATATACTGTTAAGAGACACAGCTGCAGTGGTTGATTGAAAAGTTGGCAGCCTAATGATGAAAACAATATTCCAACCAACCCAACACCATAAGTCACATGAGAATAGTAAGTTCACAATCATTGAATAATCTCCCCAACTACTATCTACTAGAACTAAATTCTACAGAGACCAGGGCCTACTGTTTTCTCCATTTTAAAGCAGGCCCCAGTGGGTCCTCTGTTATACAGAACGATAGTTCATGCCATGTATAATGAGACTTCAATAAGGACAGATTTCTCTTTCCCCTTGAAAGGTGGTTGTAGAACTTGGAAAGTCTGAAAGGAAGATGACGAAAACCTCCATTTCACAAAACAGCGCACTGAAAGATGAAGAATGGCAGAAATACACCTATCTGTTTGTAAAGAAACCAGAACTCCCCAGCGATACAAAGACCATTTTGAACAGCGACCGATATCCTATCTTGCTGTGGTGGTCTCCGCTGACAGGAGAGACAGGGCGGCTTGGTCGGTGCGGACAAGATGCTTGTTTCTTTACTATCAACAGGACCTATCAGCACAACTCTATGACTAAAGCATTTCTGTTTTATGGTAAGAGGCTGGTTCATTTTATTCTTCAAAATGATGAGTGACTTTGCCTTTCCCCCTCGCTCACATGGTTCATTTATCTTGTAGCTGCCAAGCATCAACAGAGAAAAGAGGTGGGGCCTGCAACAGAATGTTGCAGCGTGGCGTGCTGCTTTTCGGGGTCTGCTGTTTGGGATTCCAGCCACTCCATTTCAGTCCTCCTTTCTTCTGGGTTTTCTGTTCCCCACCATGGTCAGTGAGCATGCTATGGCCATTGATCTTACTGTCTTAAGTCCCCTCCCCCCAAAGGATGTTTCTGTACTCCTGCAAACCCTGAGATTTCCCCAAGTCTGCTGAAACCTCCCTTTTATGTAGGGATGGTGCCATTTTGGCTATATAAAGATTGGTACTCACAGCTGAACACTGGAAATGGAAATAATTAATGTGAATAGTCAGTTTTCAGAGAGGTAGCCATATTAGTTTCAAGCAAAAAAACACAGTTTTATCGTTACTATAAAGACCAACAGATTTACTTGGACATAAATTCAGGTGCATGAATTGCTATCCTCAGTTGTAGAGTGTGTGTGTGTGCATACGTACACACTTTTAGAGGAAAAAATATTGCAAACAATGAAGACAAACGGTAACAAGATGTAAAAAGTATAGGCTGTGAAAAATCTACATACCTTTCACAACAATACTATTTGGTTGTAACACAATCATCCTAGCATTGCAAATCTTAATAATACCTTAAGTGGGACAGGAAACCATGATCTCAATTCAAGCCTAAATCATAGAATCATAGAATCATAGAGTTTGAATAGACCACAAGGGCCATCGAGTCCAACCCCCTGCCAAGCAGGAAACACCATCAGAGCACTCCTGACATATGGTTGTCAAGCCTCTGCTTAAAGACCTCCAAAGAAGGAGACTCCACCACACTCCTTGGCAGCAAATTCCACTGTCGGACAGCTCTTACTGTCAGGAAGTTCTTCCAAATGTTTAGGTGGAATCTTCTTTCTTGTAGTTTGGATCCATTGCTCCGTGTCCGCTTCTCTGGAGCAGCAGAAAACAACCTTTCTCCCTCCTCTATATGACATCCTTTTATATATTTGAACATGGACTGGCTACTTACTAAATAAGGACTGGCTACTTACTTTAATAAAAGCTCTTGGAAAATACCTATGGGGATCATAAGAAAACTTCAGTTATGTCAGTGACCTGCATGTTGCCCATCCGTAACTTAGACCATTATTTATTTTGTCACAAACATTAAAGTATGAAATGTGCTCATAATTGCAATCTTATTCTGCATTTTCTCATCATAAACCTTGTGATGCCTCTCTGTCTTTTTCTGGTCTGAAGCATATTTTTTTTATCATCTCTCCCATCCTTTAAGACATATTGTCTATCAGCTTGGCTAAGATTAATGCGTTGTATCAAATCAATCAGTCATCCTAGTGTTTCACCTTGGAAGTACCCTTTTATAGGCTTCTCTCTGCGTATCCTTTATCTTCACCATTAGTAGACAGCTTTGACTTCATTTTCTCAGCAAGAATTGGACTCTGTTTGTTTACAATATCACCTAAAATTTGTAATATCCACTCGAGGGTCTCATAGTTCCCCAGTTTAATGCGGTTTAAAAAATTGTATTCAGTACTTCTCTAGTGGGTGCACTGCAGTTTTTTTGCTGCTAATGTTGTCAAAGCCTCCGTTTCTGAAACCCAAGTCACAACATGCAGCTACTCTCTTTAAATACATGCAGCTGCCCCGATGGATACAACTCAAATCCAGGAGCAGGAAAAGTAGATAAAAGTTTTGAAACAAGTTTCACGATTCCCATGGAGCTGGTGATTCTTGGGCTGAATTATTTTGGCTGTCAAGCACAAAACTGACTTTATTATCTCTCTCCTCAGAGCTGTAATAAAAATATTATTTTCACAATACATGTCCGCAGGATATTCCCTTTATAATTCAAAACCACATCTAGAGAGATTTATTATTCAGATAGACTCGAACACTGGAAGTTTAAGGGAATCAAGTTTTATTGAGCTTTTGTCAGAATGTATAGCATCCTTTTTATATATAACTTTAGATACCTATCACAGCACTTTTTATCCTACAATGTTTTTTGAAGTCCAAATAGAAAACTAGCATAAACTTACAGTGCAGTCCTATAAATGTCTACTCAGAAACAAGTCCTGTTGAATTCAATGGGTCTTACAGTTGTATATAGGATTGCAGTGTTAACTGTTTTGTATTGTGAAGACCCATTAGGAACAGCCTTGCTGCAGCCTTTGTTGCTTACCTGCTTAGATAATAATAATAATAATAATAATAATAATAATAATAATAATAATTTATTATTTGTACCCCGCCCATCTGGCTGGGTTTCCCCAGCCACTCTGGGCAGCTTCCACAGAGACCAAAAATACACTAAGATGTCACACATTAAAAACTTCCCTGGACAGGGCTGCCTTAAGATGTCTTCTGAATGTCAGGTAGTTGTTTATCGCTTTGACATCTGATGGGAGGGCGTTCCACAGGGCGGGCGCCACTACCGAGAAGGCCCTCTGCCTGGTTCCCTGTAGCTTTGCTTCTTGCAATGAGGGAACCGCCAGAAGGCCCTCGGCACTGGACCTCAGCGTCTGGGCAGAACGATGGGGGTGGAGACGCTCCTTCAGGTATACTGGGCCGAGGCCGTTTAGGGCTTTAAAGGTCAACACCAACACTTTGAATTGTGCTCAGAAACGTACTGGGAGCCAATGTAGGTCTTTCAAGACCGGTGTTATATGGTCTTGTCGGCCGCCCCCAGTCACCAGTCTAGCTGCCGCATTCTGGATTAGTTGTAGTTTCCGGGTCACCTTCAAAGGTAGCCCCACGTAGAGCGCATTGCAGTAGTCCAAGCGGGAGATAACTAGAGCATGCAACACTCTGGCGAGACAGTCCGCGGGCAGGTAGGGTCTCAGCCTGCGTACCAGGTGGAGTTGGTAGACAGCTGCCCTGGACACAGAATTAACCTGCGCCTCCATGGACAGCTGTGAGTCCAAAATGATGCCCAGGCTGCGCACCTGGTCCTTCAGGGGCACAGTTACCCCATTCAGGACCAGGGAGTCTTTCACACCAGCCCGCCCCCTGTCCCCCAAAAACAGTACTTCTGTCTTGTCAGGATTCAACCTCAGAATCAGGATCCCATTTGTAGCTAAAATGGCATCACCCACACAGAACTGGGAGTTCTCAGAAGATCTGGAGGAACTCCAAGGACTAGAAGTACAAAAAAAAAAAAAAGCTTTAGGAAGAACCCAAGTGTACATCTGTGAATAGCTCACTGAGGACTGATGTCATGGGACTGGTTGGACACAGAGGAATGGTGGGAAGAACCAGCTGGGGAACCACCAAGGGAAGAAGGCTCAATGCTCAGGGAGTGGTGGTGGGACAATGATGAATGGTCAGAGGGAGAAGGAGGAGGACTGGTAAGAGAAGGTGTTGGAATCTGAAGGGGTAACAGGGTTTAGTGAGCTGGGAGAGTCTGTGGCAGAGAGCAGTCCAGAACCAGAACCAGAGGCTGAAGCTGAAGCATGAAAGTGGGGTAAGGGAGGCCAAGAAGCAGAGATGAGTCAGGCTGGTGAAGAGTCATGGGTGTCTCCCCCTTCTGCTGAGACCAGCTCCCTTCCCCCCTGGTCTCCCAGAACCAGAAGAGGCATGAAAAGGGCGAAGGAAAGATAGATTCACATAGGCACAGTCTCCTATCGCTTGGGGGGGGGGACGACCATGGAGAGGAGGGTACTTAGGCAGCTGTGATCTTCCTTCTCAGTGACTACTTCATAGGAAGCAAGACCTGACAGAGATGAGCTGCTGTGCTCATTAGGTCTGACACTCCACCAAGTGATCATGTTTTTGCTAATTAACTCCAGCTTGCACAGTGTGACTTGCCGCTGGCTTGCTTCTGACAACTGAGCATCCTCAACAGGCATGAAATGCTGTCCAACTGTTGGTGTGTGTGGCGTTTGCCTCCTAGATGGGTCATAAAGGGTTAAATGAGTGTGATGTGATTGGCCAGTGGGAAAGCAAGGGGAGGAGTAAAAGTTAGAGTGGAAGGTTTTGAAAGTCAGTTGAGGTTTGGGAGTTGAAGAAGGAAGAGGGAGGATTAGGTGTGGGTTGGTCGAGTTGTATTGTGAGAGAGTGAGAGGAATTGTTAGGTGGAGTCAGATAGATAGTTGGGGATAATCAGTTTGAAGTTGTTAGGAACTAAGATTAAGAAACTGTCAAGAAAAACTAACTGAAGCCATAAGCTTGTTCTGCATTTTAATATAAACTTGATTATTTGTTAATGTTGACAACTGTCTGGACTCTGTGTGTCCCCGTGAGAAACGGGGTGGTGGCAGCGAAGAAAGCAGTGGCACAGTGGTGGCACAGGGTCAATAGACCATCAAACGTCCGGGGGCCCTGTGTGATTGCCACAGTGTGTGTGTGATGAGTGGAATGGCAACCTTGGGGAAGGAGAAAGGGGAATGGAATGGAGTATGCTGGAAAATGGCTCTCTCAACAGAAGCACATGCAACATTCCATTGTGGGTCCCACTTGTTTTGCATGTTAGTAAGATGTTGTGGGGAGGAGCCATAGGCGAGAGAGGGGCAGTGATGGTCGTGAATACTATGCTGCCTTGGTAATATGCTGTTCATATCATTCATGGAAGCGCAGCCAGGTTGAATAATGTTTTCCAATATTTCTTTGACTGGGAGCAATACTGGTTTCTTTCTCTCCCATTTGTATTTTCAACATCTAGGTACTGACTTCAGCATAGATAGTTTACCTCTCCCCCGAAAAGACCACCATGACTGGGCCCTTTTCCACGAGGAGTCACCCAAAAACAATTACAAGCTCTTCCAGAGACCTGCCATCACTCTGTTCAATCACACGGCAACGTTCAGCCGCCACTCACATCTGCCACTCACCACCCAGTACCTTGAAAGCATTGAGGCCTTAAAATCCCTGAGGTACATGATTCCTTTGCAAAACAAGAACAGCTTGAGGAAAAGACTCGCGCCCCTCGTATATGTACAGTCTGACTGCGATCCTCCCTCTGACCGGGACAGTTATGTACAGGAGCTTATGGCTCACATTGAGGTAGACTCCTATGGTGCCTGCTTGCATAACAGAGATCTGCCGGAGCAGCTTGAAAACCCTGCCTCCATGGATAACGATAACTTCTACAAGATACTTGCTCAGTACAAATTTGTCCTTGCCTTTGAGAACGCTGTCTGTGAAGATTATATCACTGAAAAGCTCTGGAGACCACTGAAGCTGGGTGTGGTACCAGTTTATTATGGCTCTCCTAGCGTCAAAGACTGGCTTCCTAGCAATAAGAGTGCAATCCTGGTCACAGGATTCTCACACCCCAAGGACCTGGCACAGTACATCAAAGCTTTGGATGCAGATGATGAGAAATATGAGGCCTACCTTGAATGGAAGCTGAAAGGGGACATCTCCAACCAACACCTGCTTGCTGCTATAAAGGAACGCACATGGGGAGTGCAAGATATCATGAAGGACAATTACATAGATGCCTTTGAATGCATGGTGTGCACTAGAATATGGGGAAATATGAGGAGACAAGCAAAGGTAATTATAAAGCCATCTGCCCTGTTATAGCCAGGCTTGCACCGCCTCTGAGTCAGACTTGCCAGGTACTAATTGTCAAGTGGAGTCACTTTGTGGCAGGTGTGATGTATGAGTTCTGACAGATAGAAGCAGGGCCAGAGACAAGCTCTCCAGGACCAAGGAGAGCTCCCAAGGAAAGGAAGGCAGATGTTGTTCTCCCAGCGTCCCGAGTTTATATGAGTCTTTATAAGAGGAATAAGGACCTTGTGGCATATCAGCTGTGGTAGTACAGTGGTACCTCGGGTTACATACGCTTCGGGTTACATACGCTTCAGGTTACAGACTCCGCTAACCCAGAAACAGTACCTCAGATTAAGAACTTTGCTTCAGGATGAGAGCAGAAATCGTGCTCCAGCGGCGTGGCAGCAGCGGGAGGCCCCATTAGCTAAAGTGGTGCTTCAGGTTAAGAACAGTTTCAGGTTAAGAACGGACCTCCGGAACAAATTAAGCACTTAACCTGAGGTCCCACTGTATTCCAACTCCTATCAGACTTAGCAGCATGGACATGGTCATGGGTGGAAGGGAGTTGGAGTCCAACAACATCTGCAGGGCCACAGGTTCTTTGCTTTCTAATACCCTCCCCCCCAGTCTCATATTCTGTGAGTTCAACTCCAGCTGCCTACAATATTGCAGCGAAAATAATTCATCAGGCATTGCCTTGAGTGAAATTGCTGCTGACTTGGTCTTCAGTTGGCAGTCAAGGCTGACCTACGGAGTGGGTTGCACACATCAAGCAATGATTAGATCTAATGACAGCCCACAGTTTATTAAACTGCAATATTTCACAGCCTCTTGAGTGAAACATAATGCTTGTTTACAGAATCGCCACAGCATTAAAAAAGACTGTAAGAAGTGGCAGGCACATTATCACCCAAGCCCTGTCAAGTTTGCAACCCCGGCTTTGGCCTGGGAGGGCGGGATACAATAACAATTAAAAAATTATTATTATTATTATTATTAAATGCATCAAGCATGTTTCAGCCGTTCGAAGCTACACAGAGCGAACATGTAGACCTCATTCCTAGCTCAGTGGGGAGGGGAGTCTTTTTCAGACGGAGGGCTGCATTCGCAATGCGGAGCCATGCACACAAATGGCGCTATATAAATAAACACATGATGGTGATAATACCTGTGTAATATGAAATCCAGCACAACAGTTGTGCTAGTGGAAGATGGCTGTGCGACAGGTTGTGCCTACAACAGTCTGTTGTGCAACCAGCCATCAGAACCATTCCGGCTTCCTGCACTTTCTCTTGTGCAAGTCATTCCACTAACATAACTGGCTACACTCCTAAGGGACCTTAACTTAGTGCTTCATTGAATTCCTCCCAGATATTTTCACACACTATTTAAGTGGAAGTGAGTGTATATTCATCCTTGCTTACGTGGTGGTTGATAAAATTCAGATTGTGTCCTCCCACCTCTCTTTTTCTCTCTCAACCAGGGAATGTTACCAAAAAGGTGGAACGCAGAAGCAAGCCACCTGAGCTGCCCCAAACCTCAACCATTTGTTTTTTCGTCTCGCAATACGCACAGAACGGCACTGCGGGAGATGTGGATACCGAGCTTTGAGCAGTCCAAGAGAGAAGCTCACGCGCTGAGGCAGCTGGTCGAAAGGAACAGAAATTTCACAGCTCAGGAGTTTTGGACTATGGTGTTTAGAGAATGAGCTTAGAGGGAGACAATAGGCCCTTGACTCAAGCTAGAGGGGGAAACAAACTAAAACAGAGGAGCCTCTATGAGGAGCTGTTGTTTGTCGGTTGCCTTAATAAGATAGAAAGCAGTTTTAACCACTGAGATGATGAGAAATCATCGTATTCAGCAAATACTAATCCAGAAGTCGAAGGACCCAGTTGGGTCATCTTATAATATATTTTTTATACTAACGTTCAGTATAAACTGTTAATATAATTATTAGTGTAATTAACATTGGAGCATTCACAGCAAAATGCAGCCATCTGCACTTTACTTTCCCAGTGTGTGTGTGTGTGTGTGTGTGGTTTATTTTGCCTCTGCAGTTCCTCCCACCCTTGAGTTGGATACGTGTCAAGTCTTCCATACAGCTGGTTTGGCTTCCTGGCATCTCTCAAGCGAAGGGCCTTGTCTAAAGGGGTGGCCTTGCTGCTTATGTCATTTCTGCACCTGACAGGAAGCCAAGCCGTGCAGGAGAAAGGAGGACCTTGCAGATGAATCGCAGAGCAGCGTAGGAGGAGGAGCAACCTCAGGGGCAATGTGCCAAATGCTCCGGGAGGGGGGGGGGGATGGTTTACGGAAAGCAGGCCTTAGAAATAAAGTCTCACCTAAGTGTGGGCCGTGTTATTGGAGGCTGGATTTTGTGCCACTCTGGCAAATTCTGTAAAGAGCCACTTTGTGGTTTGAATGAAGGAACTTGCTTCTTTTCATTTCTGGCTGGGCCAGGGTGATGGAGATGTCATCTATTGAACAGCATTATAAACAGCAATGGCAAGGCAGCATGTCCATGCTCTGATAATGTCTGAAGCATTTCTCTTAAGGAGGGAGGGCTGACCGTGCAGAGGCTCATGGAGGCAGGGATTTTCTTTTGTTAAGACCTGCACAATATCAGATGATTTGGGGCTTGATTTGAGTATCTTTATGGTTTTCGTTACTTGGGACTGGAAGTACGGGGCCAAAAGACTTCTTCACGCACAGTAAGTGTCATGCTGATTCCAGGGGGAAATAAAAGAGGGGGAAATCCTTTTATCAGTGAAAATTGGTGCTTTTTACCTAGCTGTTGAAAAAGTACAACAGCCCTACCAGGGAAAAAATGGCAACTATATGTTGCCACGATTTTTTCCTGATAGGACTCTTGGTTTTGTTTTTTAACAGCTGGGGTAAGATAAAGCTAAAGGGACCCCTGACCATTAGGTCCAGTCGTGACCGACTCTGGGGTTGCGGCGCTCATCTCGCTTTATTGGCCGAGGGAGCCGGCGTACAGCTTCCAGGTCATGTGGCCAGCATGACTAAGCCGCTTCTGGCGAACCAGAGCGCACGGAAATGCTGTTTACCTTCCCGCTGGAGCGGTACCTATTTATCTACTTGCACTTTGATGTGCTTTCAAACTGCTAGGTTGGCAGGAGCAGGGACCCAGCAATGGGAGCTCACCCTGTCGCGGGGATTTGAACCACCAACCTTCTGATCAGCAAGTCCTAGGCTCTGTGTTTTAACCCACAGCACCACCCGAATCCCAACAGCTGGGGTAAACAAGTACAAATTGGGCTGATAGAGGTTTCCCCTCCCCTCCCCTCGCTGCGTCAACATGTTCTCATCACTGCATGTGGAACCGGGGACAATTTAGGACTACATCATTATCTGCAGCATCAAGACCTGACAAGACATAATCAAGGTTCACAAACACACAGCTTGTTGCTCTTGATTACTCATTTTGTTTGTGGTGAGCGACGGAGGCCATGCTGGGTGGCAAGAACAGCGATTGCACTGCAGGTTTGACCTCTCTGACCAAACACACCTCCAAGCAGGTGAGTGGATCTATCAGAGTGCTCCTTTGCTCAGCATGTTTATGCATCATCTGTTCCCACCCCAAGCCCCAGCATCAGCAGTTTCCGTTGTTACTTGGCAGACTGAAATTTCCTGATACAGAGGAAGAATATAAAATGCATTAGCACTTGGCACTCATATGCTGAGATCCGGAGACAGGCCAAAAAGTGCTGGTTAAGATTTACCCACCATCTAGTGTTTAAAAAGGGAACATCCACAGAGAGGGGCGGCATTCCAGATTCTTGGGCATCATTCCAAATATCCTTGGTAGCATATTTACAACACCACTTCCTACTCAGAAGTAAGCCCCTCTGTACTCAATGGAGCTTACTCCTAGGTAAGTGTGCCTGGGACTGCAGCCTTGAATTTTGCCCCACTAACACAGGCCTGCACATTAATGCTCAGGGGTGATGAGAATTGCCCAGCTACATTGGTGTTAGCCGCCCTGAACCCAGGGAGGGCGGGGTATAAATAAAATTTATTATTAGTATTATTATATTTAGAGACCCACAGGTTTAGAGACCCACAGCCAGTGTGGTGTAGTGTTTAAGAGCGGTGGACACGTAATCTGGTGAACCGGGTTCGCGTCTTCGCTCCTCCCCATGCAGCTGCTGGGTGACCTTGGGCTAGTCACGTTTCTCTGAAGTCTCTCAGCCCCACTCACCTCACAGAGTGTTTGTTGTGGGGGAGGAAGGGAAAGGAGAATGTTAGCCGCTTTGAGACTCCTTCGGGTAGTGATAAAGCGGGATATCAAATCCAAACTCTTCTTCTTCTTCCCCAGTCAGTCTATGCAGACCAAAGCTCACCATAGTATTTTTTTAAAAAAGGAGCAATGCTTCCATTCATTCTCGCTACATTTCGTTTGGTTATCTTAACTTTACGTACTAAAACAAAACAAAACAAAACAAAACCAGCCCCCTCTTGGGCTTCAACTGGACTCCTTTCCAGCATCCATCAGTTTCATTGATCCAGTGTTTGCTGATGCTCTTCCCTCTTTGACGTGGTCCTTGACATTTCTCAGAACCTCAAGAACAAGCTGGCAACCATAACCATAATGCTTAGCAAAGGTCTCCCTATAAATTCAATCAAAGTGAAAGCTGTATCCTTCGGCCAGGCTGGAATGCTTCTGAGTGCAGACGACCAGCCTGCCATTGTAAAAAAGCTTTCCATCTACAGAGGGAGGGATTGTGATGTGTGTATCGTCAATAAAATACAGTGGTACCTCGGGTTACAGATGCTTCAGGTTACAGACTCTGCTAACCCAGAAGTAGCACCTCAGGTTAAGAACTTTGCTTCAGGATGAGAACAGAAATTGTGCGGCGGCAGCAGAAGGCCCCATTAGCTAAAGTGGTACCTCAGGTTAAGACCAGTTTCAGGTTAAGAACGGACCTCCAGAACGAATTAAGTTCTTAACCCGAGGTACCACTGTACACCCCAAGAGAAATGGGTTTTTTTTCAAACAGCAGGGTGAGCTCTGTTGCCTTTCATTGTCCCTCAATTGCCACAAACATAGGAGCATACTTCTAGGGGCTGAGGTCCCTTCGCCCTCCAATAAAATAAACTGCAACATTTATGGGCATTGCCATTCAAATGGTGTGCGTATGCCGTGTCTTGTGATTGATTATGCAGGGCAGGCCTTATCTGCCCCCCCATATTTTATTCAAGTTGGCTCCCCTAGCCACAAACAGACTTTGGATCACAAGAAGTTTCCACCCATTCCAGGCAGGGTGTATATTCTACTCCCCCCCCCCCCCAATATCCTGCCAGTCTATCCACTGTAGGGTTTTCTGGGTGCTCTTAGAAAGAAAGAAAGAAAGAAAGAAAGAAAGAAAGAAAGAAAGAAGCTTTCGCTCACTGTTTATTTAAACTTCGAAATTTACTCTGGTAAGGGAGAGCTGGTGGTTTCATGGCTGACACAAGACCAGCTAATCTGGCATCATGGCATTGGTTGATTAACAGGTGGGCAGCAATAAAACTGCTAGCACATTTGTAAAGCTAAGCAGGGTCTGGTATGGTTTCAGATTCGATGGGAGACTGCATGTTGATATTCAGGGGGTTGGGTGACTCTCAGGGTCCCTTCTAATTCTACGATCTAGAGTTAGGGGTGAGCCGTGAGGCAGCCAAGTTTGCTGATACTAAATTGTTCAGGGTAGTTGAAACAAAAAAGGATGGTGAGGAGCCCCATCTGATCTCTCCAAACGGAGTGAATAGGTAGTAAAAAGGTAGGATAGCTCAGTCAGTATAAGCATGAGACTCTTAATTTCAGGGTCATGGGTTTGAGCCCCATGTTGGGCAAAAAGATTCCTGCATCGCAGGGGGGTTGGACTAGATGAGCTCATGGTCCCTTCCAGCTCTACAATTCTATGGTTTTCTAAAATGGCAAGTGCAATTCAATGTAAAGCTGTGTACAGTGGTACCTCGGGTTACAAACACCTTGGGTTACAAACACTTCGGGTTACAGACTTGGCTAACCCGGAAGTACAGTGGTACCTCGGGTTAAGAACTTAATTCGTTCCGGAGGTCTGTTCTTAACCTGAAACTCTTCTTAACCTGAAGCACCACTTTAGCTAATGGGGCCACCCGCTGCCGCCACGCCGCGATTTCTGTTCTCATCCTGAAGCAAAATTCTTAACCCGAGGTACTATTTCTGGGTTAGCGGAGTCTAACCTGAAGAGTCTGTAACCCGAGGTACCACTGTAGTACCTTGGTTTAAGAACTTTACCTCAGGATGAGAACAGAAATCACGGTGCGGTGGCATCGGGAGGCCCCATTAGCTAAAGTGGTACCTCAGGTTAAGAACGGTTTCAGGTTAAGAACGGACCTCCAGAGCAAATTAAGTTCATAACCAGAGGCACCACTGTACAGCAATGCATATCAAGGCCAAAAAAAAACCCCTTAAATTCACATGTACACTCATGACGTCTGAACTGGCAATGATTTACCAGGAATTTGACTGGTTGAGGTGGATAGCTTAATGAAGATGTCAACCCAGTGTGCAGCAGTTATGAAAAAGGAAAATTCTGTGCTAGGATCCAAATGATAATTTGGGTAATTTTCCTTAGCACATTTTCCGTAGGCAGCGTTGCATGAGTCAGCTACTGAGACGCACTTAAATGAGTCTTTGTGACAGAATCTGTATTTTAACCTATTATATGTTTGAGTCATTTGTGTAAAAGGAAAAGGAAAAAGCAGGACAAATGGAGATCTTTGTTGAAGGACATCTTCAAGAATATCCATTTGACTCTTGGTAGTAAAATAATCAGCGCAAAGCTGCAGCTGCAGCAGAACACTAGTGGTGACTGTAAACATGTACACTGAGATGGAAGGCCCAGGATATGTTTTCGCTGGCTCAGTCAAAATGGCAGAGTTATTGTGTGTTGGCCGGAGGGTTGGGGTTGGAGGAACAAATAGCTTAAATTGCAAGCAACTGCTAGGAGGACACATTAGGGCATGAATAATTTAGTGTCCATGAAAAATTGAATTCTACTGAAGGGGAGCTTTTGTGGCACATTTATGATTTGGAAAGATGAGACTATGCAGCAGAAACGGAAGGAGCAAGATGGCAAATGTGGGTAAACTCACATAGAAGGGCAGAAGAATCATATCTCACTCCAACCAGCTCTACACTTTTGCTGCAATGTTTACAGGTCTACTCTTTTTTGGTAAGTCTATAGGCCTTCTGAGGAATGGCTCCTCCCATTGTCCCTCGCTTCCCCTTGTTCCTGGCATAGCCTCCTGGAATAATAGACATATCCTGCCTTGCTTTGACCCCGCGCCCGAAAATTCTAACTCCTTAGCATCTCACGTTCCCAACGGAGACCATGCCATACAAGAATAACAGCATATTTAAACAGTGTGCTTAAGACCGAGTACCTCTATTTCTTAATGAAAAGCTGTGGGGATCCACTATCCAGATTAAGATTGCTGAATGGGGAATGGGATTAACCTTTCCCCA